TAGGAAGGTTGAGTATGGATATGCAACCACGAGAACATAAATGTCGACCTTAAGCCTCAACTTATATTTCATTCGTCAAGAAAGTCTCCAGCGCATCACACCACGCCGTTTGATTGGGGGACTGACGAAAGAAAAAGAAGGCGGACGAACTCGAGAAGTCGTAAGTCCACTGCCAGGGAGGGTGCCAGGGGCGCGCATGGAAAAAGCCCGCGACGAAGAAGCTGAAGCGGGGCAGGTGAACAAGGGCAGGCGATGATGGTGATTTCCTCGAAAGCTGTAATATACATGAGATTAATGTTAGAAGAGAAAAAAATGATAACACACCATCAAAAAACACGCATGCAACTTTGATGTTACGAGTTCTGCACCCAGTCCCGCACTCCCCATCAGTCCGATGACGTATGGCTGGCATGTTGGCATGACGTAGCGATACAGTCTCTTGAAGGTATGACAGATAGGGCACTATCATGGCCGGAATTATATCATCTGACCACCTGCGCCACTGATTAGCCCTTTTTTGGGAGCTGGTGAGACGACGGGGAGAAGCGTCAATAGAAAAATGTATTGAGTCGCTGAAGGGAAACACAGGTCCATCATCCCTCTGTCCGGGTTCCGTCCTACGTATGGGTGATGAACGACGCGGCCTTTGCTGTGCTAGACGTTGTCGTCCTGGCAGAACTAAGATGGGTGGTGGGCCAGGAAGATAGAGGTCGAGTTTTTTTGTCTCGCGGGGACGTTTCCATCTATTGACCATCCAAGGTTCGCAAATGATAGCAGTCGGCTGATGTATCGACGGTGGTGAAGAATGGGGGTTGTTGCCTTATGACGTCGAGGTTTTGGACGGCGGACTGCCATAGCGTAATACCTTAAGACTCGAAGTCAACAAGGCAGGAAACAGTGACACGAAGTCAACAAGAGGAAACATGACACGAGTCAACTAGGGAACTCAGCCCACGGAGGCGCAGTCTGGGGAAGTTTGATTGTAGTGACCGATGGTGGCGGACGTTGATGCGAAGTAGGATCACTAGTGAAAAATCAAAATAATCACATTGGGCTGAGAAATCACGAAGCTTAATTCAATTTATTCCAGACTACACCAAAATACTTCGGGATCGTTCAATGGCGCTTAACGATAGGGCCAACTCGAAGATCTTGAAAGCAGATCGAGTCTGATTTGAATGCGGATAAATTGTGGTAAGTGTGTTGGTGAGTCCAAATGTGTGTTACTGTTGATCTTGGATCCTCACGTGGTTATAATGTTTTCCAGAAGAAAGGGTGAGCCTTGCTGTCAGAGTAATGTGAAGAACGCAAAGTGAACTCACCGCCCCATCATCGTGATGAGTCTCTTGCTCAATGTCTGAAACATGTACGCAGTGAGTAGGTATCTTGATCTCGTAAAGCCAAAGCTCGTAAATCCAAAGAGGAAAATAAATGTTACAGATCGTAATGCCGGAGTAAGATCATAGTCCGCTGATGGTAACCATACAAAACCGGATAATGGAGCACAAAGGAACACAACAGCATGGATTTGATTGTAAGGTAACGAGAACGGACAACAGAAAATACGTCAGGACAACTATATGGAATCATGATTGCATGGGAAGCGAATGGGGTATGATTGGGGGCCTGCCGAAATGATCAAAAAATGTCTGCACATAAATGCCGTCGCCACACGCTTGACTTCCCAAGATTTTGTATCTGTGAAGTTGTCTGATGTCAGCGGGGTCGTAAGAAGAGGCGGCACGCCATCCCAATCGCAAAGCAGTAGGCGAAAATTCTCCACGTAAGGAAGACAGCCCTGCAGGGTGTTATCCCACAACCCGTAGTGTTCCGACGGAAACGGCTCTGACCACATCACTAGACCAGCGTCGCCCGGGAAGATGCCATGGAGGAGTTGCTCGCGACCAGCTGGATCATCTTTCCATTCTCTCCGTGCCAAGTGACGGTCAAGATCCCTCAACTCGTATCGAAAGCCGAGTTCAAACAGCTCCCATGTGACCTTCTGAGCTAGAAGTGCGGAAGGATTAGTAAGACTGGCGACAGAAAATTGTTCACCCCGAAATTCCACAACTCCATCTGGGGAAAATACATCGCCCTGAGATTCTAGCACATCATCGCCAAACAACTCCTGCATCACCTGCTTCCGCTTCTCGGTAGCTGTAAGACCCCTTCTGTCAGGATCTTTCTCCCTATGAGATTGTGGGTTGGCAGAAGGCACACTACCAAGGAAGTCGCGCCATAGTTGAGGAGTGGGATAAGTGCGTGGAGGATCGTGGTCGACTCGGCCTACCCACAGCGCACGACATGCAAGCCAATTGGCAAGGTATACTTGCAGACGTTCAGCCAGTTTGGGGCCGATAAGAAGAGCAGGCTCAGGGAATCTATACCCCCGATCAATAACGTAGGGCGTGTGAATGCGAGACTGGTCCTTGATTGCAATTTTCATCGCAGCTTCCCAATGGAGGTTCGGCGGCGGAAGGTAAGGAGTGTCAGGGTCTTGCCACTTGTTCCTGGATTCGCCTGACTGAGCAGGACGTGCAGGGCGAGCTTCAATGGAGTCTAAAATGATGAGTATCCAACGTGCACAAAAGAAAGAGGCGCTTACATGGTTGGTGTTTTGGCTTACTCTTCTGTCGAGATGGCGCCTTGCCAAGACTAGATACTTTAGGACCGGGATTCGAGCTGGACGATGGTTGAGGGATGGCTGCCTCGGGGTCTAGATGTGTTGTGCCTGCGTATAGGCGGCGAATGTGCACATGGCGATCACGACCACCGGGACCACGGTGTATGACTTCGAATGGGCGAACTTTCCTGCCCTCCGCGTACATGCCAATTATTATGTGATCAGGACGGGTAAGTAAGACAGGTTCGACAATCGTCATGCTCGGGGGAATGTACGCGCTTGAACGAACATACCAAACGGGGACGCCGGCGCAGAATAATTTCTCGCAGACGTCGCTACTCTGCACGAAAGCACCCATCCATTCGCCCCGAACATTATGACGAAAGCCTGAAGTTGTGAGAGGTTGAGCTTCAAGTCCCCAGTCGAGGTAAGAGTATATATCGAGAAAGAGACGCTGAGCATCGGTGACGAAAATGAGAAGATCACGGAAAGTGAGGGGGTGGGACTTTAAGCGTGCGACAGCGTGTCGGAGGGACATCAGGCGGCCGTATATGACTTGGCCTCTGTCTGGATGAACCTTTCGATAATCGCGGAGTCGTTGTTCCGCCAGTTTGAAGAGGGATTGCAAGCCGTCGACTTTATCTGATGCCAGTGTGCCCACAGGAAACGAATTCCCGGGAATGGGCTGAAGGTCATCCCGGGTAGGGGTGAACCAAGCCCAATGAAGCGGGTGAGGATATGGAAATGCCTCCTTTCGAGGTATGCAAGTGGCATGGCAAAAGGTATCGTCGTAAGCCTGAGGCCATTGGAAGCAGTCGATCACGCCAAAGCGACCATCTGCACGGGCTTGTAAAATTTCTGGCTCGAAGTGATGGAATTCCGGCACGAAATGCATATTGGGAGTCGTGATAACCAGATTGCCCTGCACGGCAACGGTGCGAGCGTCGAAAGCTTGTAACCAAGCTGTTGGAAACTTTGGCGTCAGCACATGAAAGGCAGACAGAGAAACACATACCGTCTGAGATAACGGTATTCGCTTTGAACAATGTCAGGGCATTGGGCATGATGTGTGCTAGAAATCTTAAGCGCGCAACGCAACGAACAAGTGAAAAAGTAGACATACCGTGTATCTGGATGCGGAGTATAATCGTGGGAGTTAGAGTCGCTGACCACCAAGAGAGCAATAACGCCAGGATAAGGATGTGAGAGGAAATCAGTAAAAGTTAATGAAAGACAAGTATATACCTCACCAGCTGTGAGACGCTCGATGTAAATGTCAAAGAAAAGACGAGGGGTGCAGATAGATTCCAGACGCAAAGCACTCCCGAGGAAGATCTTCAACCCTACTGGTGCAGCAACAGGTGAGCGACCAGGGCGATCCTCCAGACACGCAGTCTAGGAGTGTTGGACCAGCGACGCGTAGTCAACTGATCGCTTGATGTGAACGGCACGAAGCCAGTTCAGATGGGTAGAAGTCGTAGTCGAGGGAACCTGGGGGGACGAGAGACACAGCGATGAGAATGAAGATAGAGGAACAGCGAGAGTAGTTAGTAGCAAAAGAGAATATCACCAAGTGGGAAAATCCCAAATGAAGTTCCGACTAAACATGAGCGGCAAGTTCAATTGTGGGAAAGTCCCATATCCGAGTCTTTCCACTTACTCAATCCATCGTCTCAATTGTCCTTCGTCGTCTCAATTGTCCCCCATCCATCACCCTACTACCGTTATCCTTCGCCCCGACCACCGCACTGGACTCCCTGGCTCCATATTTTTTTTGAACTGGCTTCGTGCCGTTCGCGTCCAGCGATCAGTTGACTACGCGTCGCTGGTCCAACACTCCTAGACTGCGTGTCTGGAGGATCGCCCTGGCTGCTCACCCGTTGTTGCACCATTAGGGTTGAAGATCTTCCTCGGGAGTGCCCTATATGTTCTATCCGCTCGATCGTGCTTGGAACTTAACATCGAGCACTCTCAGTTAAGTGCACACATATTTCTATTCCTCCACTGCTTTCTGATTTCCTTCATGTCTTCTCCGTATTCGCAGCTTCGTGACCCGGTGGTCTTGGGGCACTCTACTTCCTTCCCTGCAACATTAAATTTTCGTTTTTATCGGTAAGTCTGGTTCTCTATCCCTCAATGCGTCCATTCGATCCATGAATGCAAACTTGTATAGCAGGCTTCAAGCACAAATCACCGCTGATGGCAATCCCTCATGTGGCTTACATCGTCTTCTCTTCAAGAACTTTTAACTTGGAGCGTAATTGTATCAGAATGGTCAGTCTACCGCACATTCTACAGTATGCACTCGTACTCATAGCTATTAATGCAGATCTATAACAGGCTTTTTACCGTCTTCCCTTTTGGAACTATTAGCTTACAACGTGATTGTATCAAAAAGGTCGGTCTAGTGCACGTTCTAGAGTAGAGTCTGGTGTTCATAGCTATCACACAGATTTTCTCAACAATCTCCGTGTTCTCTGCCCTGTCATTACCATTAATTTGGTTCCATTTCGGTACTTACTTAACATGTCCCCTGAGCGATCGGTGGCGCCAACTTGGTCCGGCTGTCAGGTGTTTTATATTGTAACTTTATTTCTTCATGATTAATCATGATTATTTGGACAACCAGTGTCAAGCGAATAGAATCCTTCCATAGCGTTTCATCACACTAACCGCCTTCGGGTCTTGTCATTGTATATATAATGCTATCTGATCCCTAGGTATCCTCTCAATTTCTAGTTTTACATTTGCTCTTACATTTCTGAACTCTTCTTTCGCGTATTCTCACCTGACTTCGTGTCGGTGAAATAAAATTGTCGAGAAACTTCGTGTTTCTTTCAACGTATCTTCTTCGTGTCTTCGTGACCACGAGGAACAGTCTCTAATATGCCTCTTACTACCCGCTCTGGGCGTCAGCCAAAAGCGCCACTTCGAGCCGACAATGATGGCAACCAAGCACGTTCCCGCCCTGGTCCAAAGTCGGCCAACGCCAATGTAAGGCTATAGGTGTCATTTTGCTATCTACTGACTCGATGTTAGATACCTCGCCCTCGCCCTAAGCCTCGTGCCCTGGCAAGGTCCGCACGTACTGACCCTATGACATCATCTGCTGAGGAAGAAATTTTCTTTTCCAATTTCGCCAGGCGCTCATTCGTCAGGAACAAGTCCAATGGCGCGAGTGAGGATCCCGAGGCACAGTTACCTGACAGTAAGTTCGCTGATTCTTACCGAGTTCCACCTTCTGACTACTGCTCATCATTCCGCAGATGGCACAGATAATGATACACCGCTAGGTGTGTTTTCTTTTTCGTTTTAAACTTTAAATAACTCTTGTCCCTCAGCTAGTGTCAAGCACGACGGTGCTGTTCTCGACAATGAGAGTGACACGGGTACAGGTATTGTTCTTCCATCTGCAGAATAGTTTTCAACGTTAACATGTTATATTGCAGTTCTATCCAATGGTGAATGTAATGGTCCTGCAGCGACGAATGAAAGGGAGACAACAACCGGTAAGTCTTGTTATATATTTTATGGTACAACATCAACATATTCCATTACAGCTCTGTCCGACAGTGAAATTGGCAATCCTGGAGCGACAAATGAACCAGATGAGACTGGGGGTGATTTTTCTTTAAACTTGTCATGGTACACTGCTGATATATTTATTATAGCTCAGTCCGACGGTGAGCACAGCAGTACCATAGCAACGAACAACCGGGTCAATTCTGCAGGTAGGTTTCGTGTCATATTTTGTTGTGAAATGACTAAACATGTCTGACTACAGTTCCGTCCTCGAATGAACGCGATGGTAATGCAGCGGTGAATGAAAGGGTCATGAACGCATGTAAGTTTCGTCATCCAAATCGTGGTACATAAACTAACATGATTTATAAAAGCTCCATCCAACGGTGACAGCGTGATTCAAACAAACGAAAGGGAGAAAACCGCAGGTAGGTTTCATTATACATTATGCAGTACACAGCTCATATGTTTTGTAACATCCATAGTCATTCGCCCGCGCAGATCCGGTGCTCAAAAGTCATACTTTCCTTCCCACGAGGGGAAATCCACAGAGAGCTCTGGTTCTGATAGCGATTGGGCTGAAACAGAAGAGCGACGCAAGAAGGCAGAATCCCGTGCAGAGTCCCCCAGACTGTCTGCAGAGGGACAGCAGAAGGGACAAGCAGTGGCAGAGGCACCCGACCATGATGATGATTCCGAGGGCTGCGACGAAGAAGACAGGCTTGAAGAAGGCGACGAGACCACACATAAAGCAGGCAGACTATCTAAGGAAGCCATTTTGGCAGTGCATGATTTTGGGAAGAGGGTCCAGGCGGAAGCGACCGAAATTGGCGAACGGTTTGGGAAACATCGGCAGGTCATTCTGACGGAGGCAGGATTAGCGAGGAAAGCAACTCGCAAGGAGTCCATTTGGAACCAGCATCAAGCCTGGTTTAAAACTGTGCTGCACCCGTCCAAAGCAGGTATGTTATTGCGTTGAATGTTCGTATCTATATTCATACCCTTTCAGCGAGCTTGCAGGCATGGAAAGCCAAGCAAGCTGAGCATTATCACGCCCACTCATACAAGGACCCTAAGAACGCGGCTCTATGGAAGCAGATCCGAGAGCATTTTGATCATGCGATTGCCACTCCTGACGATCTATCCTCTCGCGAATCATGCAGTCTTATGATGGCAGTTCGTGAGATGTTTGCAAAATCGGTGAGTGCTATTTCGGTGATTAATGTTCATTGGTAACGCGACCTTCTCAAGGCTTTGTACTGGCACCGCACATATGGAATTCATGTCGCTGGTATTGTTATTTATCTAGGTGATGAGGAATCTGGCCGCCAGGCCTCCGGTTTTTTTGCGGGGTCAGATATTGTAAAGGCCCTCATTGATGCTCAACGGGTAGATGCCAAGCATATGATAGATGAGATCACGACAATCCTCAAGTGGGTTTTGTTTTTACTCAAAGGCTACATCATCCTGACATACTTGGGGTATATTACAGGTACAAGGACTTAGAAGCTGCGCAAGCAGCAGGCAAGAATATTAAATTTCTTCCGCCGCCTGCCCCAGCCTCCAACGCCTCGCTTCTACGCAACGGTAAATCTGACAGGGATAGAAATCGCATGGTTGCACCTGTGGTTATCAGCGAAGCATTCGGTTTGTATCTCTCACCTGATCCTACTGCCGCTGTGCTCACATTTTTTTTGGTAGCTGATGCTGGTCATGCATTAAAGACTTCGAATAGTCGATGGATGACAATGCTTGACGTCCTATACTCGACAAGGTTATGTATTCATGACTGGCCCGCAGGAGTTCCGCCCCCTGGCCCTGATTTCGACCTCAAATCGCTGTCCGCAAGTCAGTTGCGTGCCCTTGTGGGTCCGTATCTGAGGATCCATCTTGGTGATACGTATGAGGCTGAGTTGGGCCGAGATGAGGATGAGGATGACAGCGATGCAGAGAAAGCGAAGATGGCCAAGCGGAAAGGCAAGTCCAAGAAGTCTGATGAGCATCGATGAACAAAGGGCGCGGTTGTGGAGGTGCCTGATGTTCTCTTGTCTATCCAGGATTGGAGTCCTCGTGCGTTTTCCAGTATTCGGAACCGCACAACAATTAATATCTTTACACTACAGTTCAGATGCAAGACCTCACCTCGTACACTGGCGAGGTGTACACAATCCCTCTCGTCATTGATACAGATGGTGTCATCTTACGTCGTCTCAAAGATTCAGAGAAATTTATCAAGGACCTCCCTCCCCACGTTACTCGCAAGCAACTAGGCAAGACGATTCGTGAAGAGTATCCGACCTCAGATGCAAGTGCAGAGCACTCGTTCCCAGAGGCTTCGCATCCTAACTTGGGAAATTCACGGTCCAATTCAAGAGCTTTGCACTCACACCAGCAGGTTTCGCGTACACATGTTACAACTCCACGCGCCAACTCGAGGGCTCCGCGCTCTAATCTTGGAGCTCCAAGGGCTACGCGCCCCCCCAACTCTGGGGCTTCGCGCTCAAACCAAGGGGCTTCGCGCTCAAATCAAGGGGCTTCGCGCTCAAACCAAGGGGCTTCGCGCTCCACTGCTGGGGCTTTGCGCTCCACTGCTGGGGCTTTGCGCTCTACTGCTGGGGCTTTCGCGCTCCAATCAAGTTGTCACTAGGCACACGGACTATGATGATCTCACTGACTACAATAACCTACCAGCCGATTATGACGATATCCCACCATCATCTCCTTTTTTCGCCTGCTACGCCTCGAGGTTCAAATACAGCCCATGGACGACACCAGTACAACCGCCTGCGTGAAGACATCCGCCATTCATTCGGCTCTAAGTCAGACACTCGGAAACGACCTCGTGGTGATTACGAAACTATAAGTGAGGTCGACGAAATCGAGACTGGCATGGTGGAGGATAGGCGTTTGGCCAGGATGCACGTATGTCGCCTACATCTTTATTTTATTTTATTTATTCAATCTCACATACCTTTCATAATCGCAGGACAGGACAAGCGTGGATCAAAGGTCCACTCGTGGTCATCAGTACGTTGCAATTCTATTGTCATTTTTCGGTGCTAATGGATCCCCATTCACTTAGGCGTAAGCCAATTGCTGGTGCTCCATCAATGGCACATTCAGGAGCCGTCACAAATAACAACACTGCGCGCTTAGCATCTCGTTCGTCAGTGGTACCCTATGCTGATCGCTCGCCTTCACGCCAGCACGGCCGTCGAGTTCCTGTCGAAGCTGAGTATGAATTTGACTCCTACTGATCTTTATAGCATGTACATCATTCTCGCATGTTTTGGTTTCGATCCTTGCTGGGTTGTGACTTATTGTGCTATGTTTTAACCTCGCTCATTCGTGTTCTGACCAGTCGTTCATCATGTTATGCCCTTCATACATATGCGTATGCCCCTTCATCACTTATGCTTTATGTTTTTTTTTTACTGTCACATGCATACTATGATTAGACAAGTGATAGACATTGATCAAATATTACTATGATTTTCCTGCCGTCGAGGCCTAAAATGTTGACAATGTTTAGCTAGGAAACTGCATGGGTACGGGTGTTCTTTTTCTCTAATGTGTAGCTGTCCAGTGGTGCCCGCATGCCCGCACTTGAACCACACATGTCACATGACAATATTGGATTACAAAAGTACAGAACAACTTGGTTTCTAGATGTTCGAAGTGTGACCTTTCAAATTTGCAAGTCTTTATATGAATTCTCAATGGGTTTAGGTACAGATTCTACACATGCTGCCACACTAATGTAAAGTGCATTGTAGTGCCATCTCCAACAATATATTCTCACTTCATCAAATCATTGTAAAGTAGGCTCTATTAATCATAGACGTTGTGCATGAATGACAACAGCAATATGAGGTCATTTCGAAGGTAGGGATATGGCTGACTCAAGGAACAGGACATTCTTGTGCGCATGAACCAGATGCTGGTTCGTTCTCTTTATCATGCTCCCGCCCCACCTGCCAGTGCTCTTTTGCAATGAGGGACGGGAAGAACAACAGTTGTGCACCCAGTATCTATTTTGTAGAGTGCCCATGTTAAGACCATGCTTGAAAGCGGGATATGACAGCCCAGTTAATCACCCATCTATTTGCTAGAGCGCCCGGTTCATCACCCATCTGTTTGCTAGAGCACCCGGTTTATCACCCATCTATTTCCTAGAATGCCCGGTTCATCACCCATCTATTTCCTAGAGTGCCCGGTTCATCACCCATCTATTTCCTAGAGTGCCCGGTTCATCACCCATCTATTTCCTAGAGCACCTGGTTCATCACCCATCTATTTGCTAGAGCATCCAGTTCATCACCCATCTGTTTGCTAGGGCACCCCCTGGTCCATTGTGGTCTGCCCTACATCACATATGGTCCTCCATAGGTAGTCTATAATTGTGTGTGGGTCCACCCTACATCACATATAGTCCGCCCTACTTAGGCTATAATGTCTTTGTGGTCTGCACTAGTCAGTCTATAATATCACTGCGGTCCGCCCTATATGGTGTATGGTCCGCCCTACTTAGGCTATACTGTCTTTGTGGTCTGCCCTACTCAGTCTATAATATCACTATGGTCCACCCTATATGGTCTATATTGTCACTGTGGCCTGCCCTACATGACTTATGGTCCGCCCTGCTTAGGCTATAATGTCTTTGTGGTCTGCCCTACTTAGGCTATAATATCATTGTGGTCCGCCCTAGTCAGTCTATAATGTCACTGCGGTCCGCCCTATATGGTGTATGGTCCACCCTACTTAGGCTATAATATTGTTGTGGTCCGCCCTACATGACATATGGTCTGCCCTGCTTAGGCTGTAATGTCTTTGCGGTCTGCCCTAGTCACTCTATAATGTCACTGTGGTCCGCCCTACATGACTTATGGTCCGCCCTGCTTAGGCTATAATGTCTTTGTGGTCTGCCCTACTTAGGCTATAATATCATTGTGGTCTGCCCTAGTCAGTCTCTAATGTCACTGCGGTCCGCCCTATATGGTGTATGGTCCACCCTACTTAGGCTATAATATTGTTGTGGTCCGCCCTACATGACATATGGTCTGCCCTGCTTAGGCTGTAATGTCTTTGTGGTCTGCCCTAGTCACTCTATAATGTCACTGTGGTCCGCCCTACATGACTTATGGTCCGCCCTGCTTAGGCTATAATGTCTTTGTGGTCTGCCCTATTTAGGCTATAATATCATTGTGGTCCGCCCTAGTCAGTCTATAATGTCACTGCGGTCCGCCCTATATGGTGTATGGTCCACCCTACTTAGGCTATAATATTGTTGTGGTCCGCCCTACATGACATATGGTCTGCCCTACTTAGGCTGTAATGTCTTTGCGGTCTGCCCTAGTCACTCTATAATGTCACTGTGGTCCACCCTACATGACATATGGTCCGCCCTACTTAGGCTATAATGTCTTTGTGGTCCGCCCTAGTCAGTCTCTAATATCATTGTGGTCTGCCCTACATGACATATGGTCCGCCCTACTTAGGCTATAATGTCTTTGCGGTCTGCCCTACATCACATATGGTCCTCCCTATAATGGTGTGGTGGTCCGCCCAATATGGTGTATGATCCACCCTACTGAGGCTATAATGACTTTGCAGTCTGCCCTACATGACATATGGTCCTCCTTAATTAGTTTATAATGGTACTGTGGTCCACTCTATATAATATATGGTCCGCCCTACTTAGGCTATAATGCCTCTGTAGTTCGCCCTAGTTAGTCTATAATGTCATCATGGTCGACCTTAAATATCATATGGTCTGTCCCATGAACTTGTGTGGTCGCTCCTTATTTCCCTTTGTGGTCTTCCCTATATGATCACTGAGCCAAGGTTTCTAGCGGGTATGGGTCTTCACACCGGTTTAAGCAGGTACAGCAGGAACGGTACCTGTGAGGGGTAAACCCACAGGTATATGTACAAATTGAGCTACTAGACATGCATAAATAACACATTAATATCATCCCATCCCTCATCCCACTCCCGCTCTTCTCCTTTGAGGTCAGGCTTACATGTCACAGCGTAACATCCTTGAAAACTCCAATGTCCAAGGCAAAGAAGACATCATGTTGTTTGTGCCGAAAGTCTTGAATGCACATGAGAAAGAATGAGCCGTCCATGAGAGACAATATGCTCAACATCAACAGACATTGCTGCAAAGCCATATTGAAAACATTGAACTATCACATCAGAATGAAAAAAAAAAACTCACCTGGAATTGTCAAGTAATCTAGTACCATGCAAGAGAGATGCTGGGTAACAGGTACTCCACACTCATACCCGCACCCTCACAACTACATCAAGCCGTTCCTGATCCCCTTGGGGCTCTCTGTCAACCTGACATGCCTGTGAATAGCACAGGAGAGACCAAATTGAGCAGGACACGATTGCAGCCACACATTTAGCCATTATATGTTAGATATAATACAAAGGTTCATTGTAGTTTAAGGCTATTCACCATCAGAATCAACAGAAAACTACCGCAAAATATTAAAAATTAGGTGGTTTGTGGACCCCAGACACTCATATATATTTGGGAAAATCCATAAGGTATATGGTCCAAAGTACCCTATGGTACTTTCCATGACATGTTCCCAATCACCTTTGGTCTGTGTACCATACATACTCCTTTGGTCCACAAAAGTAATAGGGAAGGACCATGGAACATTGGAGAGACCATCAGAAACATACCTCTTAGGTACAAACCTCTATAGGTCACAATCAACCTAAGAGGTGTCTATAATGGGGTGACCAAAGTGCCTCATACCCGAGTCACTTGCCAGATCATTCGTTCTCGTTAAGCCTGGGCCTGTCCAATATCTTATCTTCGAATAATGTGGAGATCAACCAAGTGACAATGATCAGCCCTACTTGGTCATGTTCTCCCCTCACTCAACTCTGGTGGTAAGTGCAAACACATGTTCATGTTCCTGTCGTTGACCGCATTCTAGTGAGCTGTTGCGTCTGTCTCAATCAGCGTGTATATCGTTTGGCGCCACATCTACCGGCGATTGTACGAGTATGAATGCAGTCTCAGCATTTGTCTCGAGGAACCTGAGCAACGTGCTGCATGGTCAAGTTATCGTGCCTGATGATCCGCCACCATTGGAGCTCCTCTGCGGACATGTCTCCCAGGTACAGACCTCCCTTAATTTTCCTAAATCATCACCCATCAACCCTCACAGGCATTTGCCTATGAACCATTCGTTGCCCACTTCATCATGAACGACCTTGGCAGTGATCAGAGCAGTTTTGACATCCTACACTCTCGCAGTCCCTGTTAAGACCGTGCTCAAAGGGCGGATCCGAAGGGCTTGGCTTCAGCTCGTGCGCTGCGCCCCTTACCCGAGTACGTGCCCTTAATTTCCGAAGGCTAGAAACAAAGTCCGAGGGAGGATGATGAATCCTGGTGGACTTCAAGGGGACAAGTCTGGTAGGCTTTTCGAGGAAGAGTCAGGCCGATGTTCAGGGGGTTAGTCCGGCCGATGTAAGGAGGGTTCGTCGGCCGACGTAAGGAGGGTTCATCCGGCCGATCATAGGGTTAGTCCGGCTGACATAAGAGGATTAGTCCGGCCGACATGAAGGGGGTTCGTCGGCCGACGTAAGGAGGGTTAGTCCGGCCGACATAAGAGGATTAGTCCGGCCGACATAAGAGGATTAGTCCGGCCGACATGAAGGGAGTTCGTCGGCCGACGTAAGGAGATTAGTCCGCCGGACAATAGGGGCTTAGTACACCCGGAGAATAGGGCTTTAGTCCGGCGGACGTGGGGGACAGAACAGACAGGTATAAGGACGGAAAGACAGGAAGTCCGAGAGGACAGGATGTCCGAAAGGACAGAAGGACAGGATGTCCGAAAGGACAGAAGCTAGAGGTAAGACTACACTAGACAATGTCCAGAGTAGAAACTGACAGAGGTAGACTACCCGAAGGTAGAGGCAGAGTATAGCCCGAGGAATCAATCCCAGGACACAGAGGTTGGACAGGGAAGTGGACCCGGGCCCATGGAAATGGATCCGGGTCCGAGGAAACAGGAATGAGGATAATCTAAGGTGATATTCGAACTGAGGAAACTACTACGAGTTTACAAGGTATTATATACTATGGACATGTGCGACGGGGACGGAGTCAGCGGAGATCCGGGTCAACAAGAGGAACATACGGAAAGGCTAAACTGACAGGCGCAAGGAAAATAATACAGGAACAATCGAGAACGGAGATGGAGATGAAGTATCGAATGGATCTGGGCATAGGAGGTATGATCGAGAATGAAGTCGGATATTAACTGTCAAACAGATCCGGGCATATAGGGGTTAGGACAAGGGGACTATACAAATGGGGTAACAGAATAGGAGCAGGACCGGAAATGAACTGTCAAGCGGATCACAGGAAATGGGGACGGAGATGAACTGTGAAGTGGATCCGATGTTTTTAGGGGTTAAGTGGACCTGGGTCCGAAGCTCAGGATCTGAGTAGGTCCGATGTTTAGGGTACGATGCTTTAGGGGTTAAGTGGACCCGAGCGGGTCCGACGTATAGGATGTCCGACGAATACAGGAGGAGCGGACGAGTGGACGAGCAGACGACATGAGTGAGATCCGACGAATAGGACATCCGAAGAATAGGACGTCCGACGAATAGGACGTCCGACGAAAAGGACGATCCGAGGTATACAGGAGGAGGACCAATGAATAGGACATCCGACATATATGGGAAACAGGGCAGATCCTGCTGAGGGGTATGTCCGGTGGAGACTGGGATGCGGAGTTATCCTGCCGAGGGTTAAGGTATAGCTTGGCTACATTTTGGAGGTCCGGACATTGTTTGTTGGGAGAGATGGGATATGATTCAGGGGCTCAGTGTACGGTATATGACAGTCCCGTCCCAGGATCCGCTCACGACTCGTTCACGATCTACTTAGATGGGGTGACTCTTACAGGGGCGCACCCCTGACATCAATAAGATAGGATGTCTGGGCAGCGTATACGGTCATTTGCGTTCTAACTCTAACTCGCGCGCATATGCAGCTCAAGTACATACCGAGTCCAAGCCTTGCTTTACCCAACAAGTAGATGTCGTCAACTGGTGTGAGACTTTTGACAAGTCCACCGGCTGGTACGATCACGTGCTCTCAGAGACCGTTTTAGAGGCCATTGCTTTTGGTTGGCATACCGGACCCGACGGGCCTCCCACACAATGGTTTTGCATCGAGTACGTACGCACTTTCATGTAAAGCAGGCCAGGATGGCTGATGTTAATGCTGTTCGCAGTAGCAGCGCCCATGAGATTGCGTCTTGCATGGAACAATATATTCGCAAGAATAACAAAAACGCTATCGCGTTCAACTCCAGAGTGACGGCTATTGGAGTCAACAAGGATAACACTGGCATGGATGTTGTCACAGACAACAAGGATCATCGTGTATTCTCGCATGTCATCTCTACTATCCCTTTACCCGCTCTCCGCACCATCGACCTCAGTAAAGCTGGTCTTTCCCCCATGCAGTCGAATGCTCTGCGAATGTTGAACTATGGGCCTTCCGTCAAGATCGGAATGCAGTTCAGAACTGCGTGGTGGACGACTGGGACAGATTTGAACAGAAATCCTCCGAATATAGTTGGAGGACAGACGTACACCGACATGCCTTTGTGCGCTGTCGTTTACCCTTCCTTTGGACGCGTCCAGGCCGGGACGACGACCGCACTTATCGCCAGCTATTGCTGGATGCTGGATGCTACCAGGTGGGGTGCATTGATAGGCAAACACGATGTTGTCTCTAATTCTTTGTGACTTTCTTACCATTTCTTCCACGTGTAGCACGTTCAGGCATCTCCGATATAGATCATATTCAAAGTTGATTGTGAAACTCCAGAGTCCACACCATGAGTGAAGTTGAGGTAACGCTAAGATTGAGTAAGTATTTGCGCAATGCTACGCAAGAAAAGACTAGCTTAGCCATTCACGTAAATCTCTCCATGACCGTGTGAACACGATATCTACGCACTCGCAACCGATGCCAGCACGACTTTGAACACGTTAGAAGGAGCTTCTGCTGGAGAAGGGTGTCGTAAAGTGCTGCAAGTTGCGAGCGACTAGTAGAGTGCTACGTAGGTCAGCAGCGAGTTGTGTGAAATGAACATAAAGTACCGCGTTTGTAGTCCCGAAGGGCCGTCTCTAAATCTGCCAGGCTCTGGTTCTAATGCGCAAGCACTATGGCGCGCGTGTTCTTGATTCGCTGTTCCTGGTTATGCTAACACCATGAAGTTTACCACGTCCTTTGATGGGTACCCGCGCAGTATCTGCGTTCTCCATAACGAGAGGGACGGAACAGAATTCTACAGATTTACGATTGGCGCTAACAGCATGGATCAGTCCTGTTCGAGCATCGTTGGGCCGCAGGTCGATATTAAAGAGGTGGATCGACGTACCTCCTCCTCATGACAGTATCTCGTCTTTTGTATGTCGCTTGCGTGGAGACTCTGTGAGCAGCACAGGCGCGAGAGGCACTGCAAGCACCTTCACCCAATCCAACGCAACCGACTCACCGTGGCCTCCGTCACCGCGCTAGACAAACACCCTTAATCGCTGGTCGGACGCGAGTTTCAAGCAGCTCTTTGATCATTGCTACCGTCTCAGAGTCCTTGTCAAGAATCTGAGTGTCCTGAGAACTGGCGGCTTTTCTGTCCTCTCGTGACAGGAAAGGAGGTAAACCAGCAGAAAAATGCTCCATAATTATTGAGTAGATCTCTGGCTTGAGGACTGCCCATGATTTTTCGCTATCCTTCGATGCTGTGACGAAATCCGGTCCATAAAAAATGGCTTTCACATCCTCAATGCCCATAAGACGGATTGCAAGTGGAGATTTTAAAGCTGATCGTGTGTCAAGGAACTCGGCGGTTCCTTCGTCTATGACACCTACGTCAGGTATGAATTTGAGAGAATTGTTGTTAGGCGAGGTCTCCGTCTGTATGAACATGGCTCGACCTGGACATACATTAACTGTTTAGAGACGCAATTCAGGGGCAAAAAAGTGTGGGACATACATTGCGAGGGTGCTACGCTAATCGATGGCGCAACTTTTGTGGCATGAATGCCCGAGGCAGTTGCAAGAGTAGTTCTGCGATGTATTGCTGCGCGTGCGGGTGTGGAAGAGATTGATCTTGTCCAGGACCGAACAGCAGAGTCAATGTGGTTCGAGGCAGAGCATGCACTGGACAGATCTGGAGGCAAGCCTAACGGACATGATGGTCATAAGTCAAGTTGATGCGTCAGGCCAACTGTTGGCAGTATTAGGTTAGCAATAAGTAGTCGCAGTGGCTGTGTCGTCTGGGCCTTTCTGCCAAGTGTTCCAATGCGATGATAGCAGACCAGACTCGTGGCTTTCAAGACTTCTTTAACTTCGCAGCCTTATCTTTTTTTGCGCTCCTGGTGTTTCTTGTTGTTAATGTCTTCGAGAAAGTGCGACAGACGCCGATTCAGTTGCCATTCCCATATTGGGCGATGTAGGACGCTGCCCGCGAATGATGTACCATGCAGAGAGCTTTGTGAAGCTGTGATTTACATAACACCTATCTCATTGGATACAAAGGTAAGAACTGCTGGTGTCGCATTTGTTCAGACTGACGTTCGACGCGTCCGAGTCAGGCTCCAAGCCGATACCTTCACTAACCTCCGAGTCCCTCCCGCATATCAAGTTGTCCTACCTCTCAGAACCACCACCGTCTGTTGCCTGGATCCCGTTTATTCTAGCGGCTCCAATCAAAATCCTGTACCAGATAGCCACCATCTTGTATATGCTAGTCTTTGACATACCCCATCCACCCGAGTTTTTTATGGTTCAGGTATGGATATAAATGTGGTTATAACCTTCAGTGCTCGAATATTCTTGCAGAATCCCCCAAGTATTCCAACTCTCGCCCTAGTGTGGCTTGTCGGAGGAATGACCGGAAGTAAAGTCATCATTGACAGGCATAACCTTGGGTATAGCATTCTCGCATTGGAATTGGGAGAGACGCATCTGCTTGTCAAAATTGCGAAACGGTATGCTCGTCATCATTTGTGCCAATGGTTTTTTTACCATCCTCTTTCAGATTTGAGATCATGTTCGGCAGTTCTGTGTATGCTCATATTTTCGTCACAAACGCTATGTGAGACCATCTGGTGCAGGAATGGTGCTTAATGTTTGTCTGATCGCCTACAGTATTGACTTGCGATTGATTACTGCTTCCAGAGGACATAAGGCGGTCTTGCACGATTGTCCACCTAGCCACTTTCACAAATGTCTACCTCAAGAAGTCCATGAGGTACGACGGCAACTCTCATGTATCCAACAGTATCTGACACTTTTTATATAGCTCCTCTGGTGGCTGGGACCCTCGATATCGCCATCACTTGCAGCATTTCTCCCCAGTGCTTCACCGCCTTACTCGACCCATCTGACTGAGCATAAACTTCTGAGTATGCCCAGTCTTCGACAAGATCGGCCAGCGTTGCTAGTGAGTAGTACGTCGTGGACGCCAGACGAAGGCTTTAGCATTCTTTAGGAACGACGAGCCTTGCCCATATGGATGGTCATCACGGGCAAGGTTTCTTCTAAGTCCGTGGTAGCTTGATAAATGCTATTATTTAGGGTACATTCTAGCAGTCTGATGGCCGGACGGTATGTACGCTATTGAATGAATGTTGCATGAGAAAGTCTGTGGTGTGCTCGAGAGTTTGAATCTCCTTGATGGATAATATACTTTCATGCTTTTTATTGTCGCTCTTTAGCTGCTACGCGATTCTATACAGTACAGTGCTGACTACATAGACGGGACTTGGCTATGGAGCTACACGTGCTACTCTCACTATATAGTCAACTTGTTTTTTCCTGATGGGCCGTGAGTTCTGTCTACGTGCCAGTGTATCTGTGTTTGTACTAGTGTTAGGCACTGGCCGTCAGCGACATAGGAATAGCTATCGGATGTGGAAGTAAGCTCCAAAGTTATCCAACCACCTGAAAGAGCGCATGCTGGCCAAGGAGCTTCTCAGCGAGGCACGAGGCGCTACCTTCGTTCCCCCATCTACTGAGGCAGAGAAAGCGCTTGCCAAGATATATGCAGGCATCTTCCACCTCGTGGAAAGCGAGATGTCGGCGAGCGACAACTTCTTCGAACTCGGTGGGACTTCCATTGATGTCATCAGGTGAATATATCCGTTCCTGCAGTACAACGACCTTTACTGATATGTATGATCTCTAGGCTCAAGTGCGAAGGAGAGGCACACTTCGGCCTCCCTGAGATCCCTACAATCCAAATCCTCAAGCACCCCGTTGTCTCCACCCTCGCCAACTATGTGAATGCCTCGCTCTCCAAGGATAGCCGGACTGAGGAGTACGACCCCATTGTTCCCCTCCAACTGACCGGCAACAAGACGCCTATCTTCGTTCACCCCGGTGTTGGAGAGGTTCTCATTTTCGTCAACCTTTCCTAATACTTCAAAAATGAATGTCCGTTCTACGCACTCCGTGCTCGTGGTTTCGAGCCCGGACACCCCTTCTTCACCTCTATGGACGAGATGGTGTCTTGCTATGCCGCAGCAGTCAAGAGAACTCAGGCCACAGGACCTTACACCATCGCAGGCTACAGTTACGGCGGCATTGTCGCATTTGAAGTCGCCAAGCGGCTCGAGGCCATGGCATGGGTGACGAAGTCAAGTTCACCGGTCTCATCAACATTCCTCCTCATATCGCTGATCGCATGCATGAGATCGACTGGACGGGTGGCATGCTTAACTTGTAGTACTTTCTCGGTCTCATGTCAAAGCATGATGCTATTGATCTTGCACCTGCCCTGAGACCATTGACAAGCAGCTCGAGGTGGTGTGGAAGTTGTCACCCCCTGAACGTCTTGTCGAGCTTCGGCTGACGGCTGGGAAGCTCGACCACTGGGTGGACATTGCCGGGTCTATGATTGAGTGTGGAAAGGACTACAATTCATCAGGCTCAGTTTGTAAGTTATACATTTTCTAGCTTCAGCATCACTTGCTCATATGTGACGTCACTTCAGCTGCAGTCGATGTTTTCTACGCTATTCCCCTTCGCGGAAGCATGGCTGACTGGCTGAACAACCAGCTCAAGCCATGGTCTGGCTTCAGCTGCGGCGAGGCATCATATACTGATGTGCCTGGGCAACACTACATGCTCATGGACTTTGACCACGTCCCGCAGTTCCAGAAGATCTTCCACAGCCGTCTCGAGGCTCATGGCCTGTAAATGTTATATCGACACAATGTGATTAGATCTTTATCTTGCGCCGATAATCGATGATTCGCAAGTATCTATTCAGCTATGCTCAGAGTACATGTATTTCATACTTAATTCGCTCGACTAATTACGTCGCCGTGCATCTCTTGTTGTCTCATGATAAAAGTACATGTTAGAAATGATTTTGATGGTCTTTGTGACTTCACCGTTTGGAGTGACATCATGATGATAACTGAAGACTACAAAATGAACACAATATGTTAGTTAGGTAGGAGATCGGTAAGTACAACTCCACACACACTCTACATGTTGTATCCTCGCTCAGATAGATTCGAGTTTGAATAATTGCTGTCGCTGTACTAGAGACTCGCTCTCTAACAGGCGCTTTTGTGAGCTGAGAAACGACCTGTTTCCCCCATCTCTACGCACCATTCCCATAAAGATGTTCTAAGGATCTCGCCGTGGACAAGGAAGTCGAATGGAATAGGTTTGGGGAGGTCGAGTGCTTTGTTGATGAGCTGGGAGAGCTGATACCCCAGTACACTTGTTCAATTAACCACCTTTGTTGTATTTCCTCATCTCTGTATCATGTCCAGCTCTGCCGACGAGAAAGGTAGCGGCTCTAACAACACCTCCGCCGTGTCCAGTGAGGGCGTTAAACATCCCAGGGCACAAGAAGCAGACAAAGGCAAGCATGATGATTTGCATTATGGGGTGGTAGTAGACACCACACAAGCCCTTTGGTCATTCGTAAATGGGGACAGAATCATTATCATGGGCCAGGTCAACCCAACGACTTCTGCGAATTCGACTTGCGTCATGTACGCTACGTATGCGTTCTTCGTGTTCTTATCTGTTCACTGGTTCCCTGATGAACACATTCACACTCCTATGATCATCCGGTGGTTAAGTGACTGTGCGAAGAACTGGATCGGCGCTAAGCGTACCTTGCTCTTTGAAACATTGTGCTATGCCCTCTATGTCGGTTCTTATCTGCAAGCATTTTTCTTTTTCTGTTTGATCTCCATCCTTATGGTTAACCCAGTGCAACAAATATCCACCCTGGTGCTGGCTGGTTTGCCGTTACCTCAGGTGCCTTTCTCGGCGCTACTGGGCATATTTATCAGTATCTTCTGGGCCATTTTCAACTTGGGAGCAGCGGTAGGCACTACCGTGTCCTTTGGGCAGAATATCCACTCCGTAGTATGTACATCATGTCTTTATCTTAATCCAACTTTTCAACCTAACCCTAGTCGGCCATCTTTTGGTATCAGCGCTTACTCGTCTATTGTGCCGGACGGCCCTCAACCACATGCAAAAATTCATACACAGCCATCATTTAAACCCTCAATCTCTTCTCTCCCTCTCCGCCGAACTCCGCATAAAGTCCCCATATCCCTATCCTCGTCTTCTCCTACCATTCCACCCATCACTCAGCTCATCCTCAATCCTCATCATTCTGCTTCATTGTACCACCATGCCCAGTAACTTAAAAATCCAATCTATCACACTTGAAGGTGCGCCGCTCCGTATCACTTTCATATCTGTTCTCGTGATCCTGACACTCTATCTACAGTTATTGGTGGACAGGATCTTCAAGTACCCTGCTGGCGCATACGCGCAGGCATTTACGTATTCATTAGTGTCGACTCGAGGAGACACTGGAAATCAACCGTCAGAGTCTTATCATCCGACGATTCTGTAGCATTGAGAGATATCGTGACCCTGTAAAGTCCCTCGAAACTTTTGGACATGATTCGAGAACTCATCTTCGGTTTACAGATCATCACACGAGTCACCTGCATTATCAGTGGAGATCAGAGCATCCCACGAGGAGTCGATAGAATGCCAGGCAATGGCGAAGTCATTGGACAACTTGAAACATTGTGGGATGAGTTGCTCGATCATGGAGATGAGCCATTCAGTGAGTAACCTACTTCTCATTCATGCATATCTACTCACATCCCATAAAACTCTCCTTCCCACCCATTCGTGGTGTCAATCCTTCTCTTAAGCTAAATGCTGCTGTCGTACACATATGCGATAATCAGGATGGCGCATTGATTGATGTGAGTGACCCCAGACTCTGTCCTGTTAGTTTTTGCTGACAGAACACCAACTGTAGTCCCTGGCAGACTGCGAGATTGCTCAGAAAACAGATGTGGGCCATGTACGATTGGCCAGATACGTGAGACGGGAGAGGGTCTTTCAGCTGAACAATGCTGTAGAACATTTTCAGTTTGGTCTGGCCCGCTGTCCGTTCGACCATCCCAGAAACAGAGTACAGGATAATTACGACGCAGTGGGAAGCTGTGGTGGCTGATATATGCAACCTTCAAGGTTTCTCGTGGTTCCTGCTCCCACCTTCATATGAAGACTTGCAAGCGGCAGCGCGCCATGGCCCGGTCATCATTCTCATTACCAGCCAATACTCATGCAACACCATCATTGTACCAACACCAGGAGAGCCCCATCGCAGATCTCGAGTATCTCAAGGATCGATTCGCCAGGGCGATACCCCAAGCATCGAAGATGGGCCTAAAGCAGCCGTGGAATGATCTAATTGTCCTCTTGCGGGCAGTATGGGACGATGTCATGTTACCCATCGTAAAGCGCCAGTCTCGAATCTGGCTGTGCCCAACTACAACCTTTACCTTTATTCCTCTCCACGCAGCTCACCTGTTTCGGACCAGGGCAGATCGCTCGGGGAAGGAACCGTGCCTGGAGGATCTCTACATCTATTCTTACACACTGACACTTTCTGCATTCATCAGATCTAGAGAGATGATGAAGAATCCTGCAACTCCATCCTTTGTGGCGGTTGGGCAAGGTCAACCGGGTGGAGGGAAAGGCAAGGCGCTCTTATCTGTCGATAGCGAGCTCGAACTTGTCCATAAGCTCATCCCCGCGACGGACAATTGTTCCACTCTTTTGGGCGACGCAGCCACACGAGCAGGTGCACTCGAAGTTCTGGAACAGAACGCCTGGGTGCACCTTGCAAGCAAGACCACAACCAGCCTTACCATTCTCATTTCGTCATGAAAGATGAACCAGAACCTCCCACGCTGCTCGACATCATGGAGAAAGATATTCTGCACGCTGAGTTCGCATTCTTGTTGGCGTGTCATACCGCTGTTGGTGATAAGGAGACGCCCGACGAAGTCATCCATCTCGCGGCTGCTGAGATACGAAATCTTCAAGCTTTCTTGCGATTCCTACTCCCACCGTCTTATACAGAATCGCAAGTGGCAGCCCATGGCCCAGTTATCATCCTCATTGCCAGCGAATACTCGTGCGGTGCCATCATTGTCTCGACGTCAGGAGAGCCCCACCACGTTCGCTTCCTGCGCATCACTCTCCCACATCTAGAGACACTCAAGGACGATTTTGCTACTGCCATCCGGCACACAGCTCGTATGCGCCCAGAGGAGCCTAGGAAGAAGTTGCGAGTACTCTTGCGGACAGTGTGGGACAAGATCATGTTATCTATTGTTAACGTCCCCCAGCATGACCTGAAATTGCGGTGTCAATCCAAAATATGGCTGTGTCTGACAGCAGCCTTCACGTTCATCCCTCTCCATGCAGCCAACCCCTTCCGAATGAATGCAGATCGCTCCGGGAGGAGTCGTGCCTGGAGGATCTGTACATTGCTCTTATACGCCCACATTTTCAGTTCTAATTAGAGCTCGGCAGGCCATGAAGACGTGCGCGACTCCGTCCTTCGCAGCAATTGGACAAAGTCGACCGGGCGCAGGGCAAGGCGACGTGCTCCTAACGTCAAAATTTTGTCGACAAGACCTATACTTACCTGTCAGGAATTTGTGAGCTTCAATTCCTCTTTCGTTGCATGTCATGTTCACACAGGACTCAGGAGCCACTTTTCCCTACCAAGTCGACTACAATACTGTCGCCATCGTGGCCCTCAGGTCGGTTACGAGCATCTGTAACTCTACCACTGAGAACCAGAATTCCATGTGCCACACCTCAATGGTGAACCACATCGACGGTGCATCCCTTGCAAACACGGCACGTGTTAAAGATGGAATTGGCGCACGCGGTGAAAGAAAAGGTTCTGTCCGATTATTGCTCCAGCGCGCACACACTGAAGTGGAAATTTTAGGTTAAATCGAACTTCCATGGGGGCAGCGTTTCTTTTAAACGACATACCGACCCTTCTCTTCTTATCTGTGAATTGCCCTGGCTGAGTGGCATTCGTGAGGCATCATTATCATTGGTGAGTTGCGATTTGGTGCCGCCTTCGCAGGATATCCATGATGACATCTTATAGACTGTTCCTTCTACTTTGAAACACTTGATTGATGTGGCATGCAAGGAACTACACAAGGATCTTATTTGCTTTGCATCATATCAGCATTTCATATGGGCACATGATGCAGGAGGGGGAGGTAAGGGCGCCAATATGTCCCTCACATGCAACTGAATTCTTGATTAGTTCCTATGCATCTCTTGACTGCTTTGCAGACGTGGTGGCTCGCAATTCTGTGGAATGTATGAAGCTGTGAGAGATGTTCTGAAGAATAATAGTCGCGAGATAGGTTTGCTTTTGCTTGAGCCTAACCGTACATGTGAGCTGCTTGAGAAAATAATTGCGGTACAATTCTTACCCAGCGAATGGAGTCGTGGTCAAACTTGTCGATATCGGCCAGAGTAGTAAGTCCCATTCGTCTGCTGCAGTTCTTGGACGGTTCCTCAGACATGACACGCGAGTCTCCATTCATTGAAAGATATCCGTTGCCATTCACCATGACATTGACACCATTGACGGGTGGCTGACGGGGGAGGAAAGAAGTGTGATTGGCTACCAATGATTCACCTCAATGTATGACTAGCTGCGAGCACAGGACAATTTAAGGATCTGGGTCTAGAGATGCTCGGGTTGAGGAATCAACCCAGTCTCTGACTCTCGTTTTCAAATCGACTGTCCTCTGTCGCTTTTTCAGGTGTAAGACTGCACGACTGGTGAGAGTGACTCCACTTAAACCGGGTGACAATTTGCGCTTGCAACTACCCAGTAGAGGCTGATCTTTGGGTTGATCAGACTTTGGGCTATGACCGCGTGTAGAGTGCTGTTGCGACCGCATGGCTCGTTTACTTCCGTGAGAAAGTCTCTCAATGTCCTCGTCATCTTGGTCTCTCTTCCTCTTCCCCCTCTTTTCTAGCTCCCAAGCCCTCACAGCCTTGAAAAGGGCCCAAGTATCGCACAAGAGTGTAAGTCGTTGTGTAAGTTCCACAGACTCACTTGTTTGTGGCGGATAATGGTCAAGTGTAATTTGTTCGATATGAGCTCTTGTGCATTTAGGACCTGCATTGATGACCGCAAACGGAGGCGCTACGTGACATTCAAGTGACGGGAGGTTTAGATAAGGATAACTGTGATGATTCCAACTTCCATCATCAGTTTTGCGCGAGATGAGCAGGTGCTCTCTGCCGGGTAGTGGCACAAGTATGTATCTTGTTTTAGTTTTGAGGTTCCACTGCATGATTTTTGCTGTAGGTTAGCGATATTATGAGTAAAACGAGATTAAGTACCTTCAATCTGAAATGATCAATGCCACTAGGCTCGGACCTTTTCCTCGATGTGATTGCCTCAGCGACATAGCCATGAACTTTCACCAGCGCATTTGCATCCGGCAATAGAAACCAATGATTAGCATCAAATGCATAGTGCCAGTCGCGTGATACTGCAAATTAACATCAGTGTCAACACCGTGTGAGAGATGCAATTTGTCGCACAGTAGAAAAGGTTTCTTCTGCTGTCTACATGGAATGATCCAAAATCTAAGCCAAGGCAGAATTCATAGAGCGTTAACTGAAGAAACATCACGATTAACAATGCACATTCCATAGATAATAAAATTGCCCACACGATCAGGCTTGCTCGCACGTTGAACAGCATGTGCGATAGTGGGCGGGATGATCGCTGACTGTGTGACAAGACAGCGGCGGCCATCGTAGATGCGGCCATATAATGCATCGAGTGCTGTACGAGTCTTTGAAGAGAGGCCACCAGAGTCCGAGCGATGTGTAGGGGTTGTGAAGATGTTGGATTCCCTGGTGGATGCGCGAGTGGGGGTATAATCATCGTGACTGCTTTCTTGGAGATCTGGACTTGGGGTGAAGCGGTCATCCTTCACAGACTCGGTAGATGAACTGAGATAGGACGATTCTGGATCCCAACCGCTAGCTAGAGAGTCTGCATAGACAGACATTAGATTAGTTTTGCTAAACAACACCTAGGATGGTAAGTAGATTATCGATATGATGTTGAAATTTCTGACACCTGAGACATGGCGAAATAAGTGTGTGTGACAGATTTCATTCAAATTCATCACCGAAAGTCGAGAAACCAAGTCCACTCAATTTATAAATTCTTCACCGTAGTCCCCATGTCCTTCTAGATACTCCAAGAGCTCCATCACCAAAATTCCCCAAGTCTGAAATTACCTTATGCGGACACTTTCCCGCGCCACAATCTTTTACGGGCTGATGATGCGATGACGATTGATGACAATGGGCTCGCAGGTTCAACGACACTCCCTCAGACATACCTCAATACCCTCCTAAACGTGTAAGGCCGCCATCAGTCTGATGCGCCCCTGGTAAGTTCAAATTTCCCCTGATATTCCACAACCAGCTCCGATAGATATATACGTGGGGGACGTTAATTCTCAGAATGCTTCCACTCATGCCTTTCTTTGGCAGGCGTCTCTCGTACGACGGAGCATTTTGACTTCTGCAGAATTTAACCCATGATTTCTTTTTTCCAGGACGCTTCGACCAGACCTGGCACAGGGTTTGCCTTTCACGCCACCATCAGATTTCCGCTCAGAAAGCCAGTGATTCCAATTCCTTCAGTCCGTCTTTTCAGTCAAACTATTGTGCACGTCTCGAAAATTAGTCTGATTCACGCCACTCTGAAACCGTCGACTTCAACTCTCCGGTAAGTAGATATCATATATGCGCATTTTCCTGTTGAATCAAAGGATTTTTTCCATAGAATATCCTCGAACCACTTCCGCTCGGTGATGGACCTGAGAAATTGATCCTCGCAAGACAAGCACTTCTTGCCACGCTTCTTCTCCCTGCTCATATCCCAGATAACGCTCTAAACCCAATCCTCATTCCTCCACTGTTAGTAAGTCACACTCGACCTCCCGAGCAAAAATATTTTGAAAACTTTTGTAGCATTGGCACTATACTCGCAATCACCATCCCTCAAGTACCTGTTGTGTCATTCAATAGCTCCATGCCTCTGGTTGCTGCCACTGGGAACTACAATGCCTCGATTCCCAGCAAATTTCTCCCTTCCGGCACACGCAGTTTATCCAAGTTGATACCACCGCTAATATAATTCCCCTTACATTCAACTACATGTCTGCTGAAGTTCGGGATCCAACACGAATCTACAAGTCGGTACGGCTTACTTTGGAAAAGACACCCTCCCCGCCAAGTTATTCGAAGATCCAGGTCCCGCTCAACTTCTTGTATATTGCATCGAACGACTCGGATCCGACGTGGAATGTCTGCATTGTGGTATGCGTGATGCTTTCCGTGTACGCAGTGTTTGACTTGCTTATGCTGGGGACATGAAATCAGTATATGCAATGCACCATGTGTCTTGTACTATGTGACAGTCTGTAAATGTCTTGTTAATCCACTAGGTTGACCATCCCAGCGACCACGGGGACGAAGTAATGTATAGGTTCATCATTTCACAAAGCCGTCGAGAAAGTCATGTATCTGAATTTCAATGAATGCTATGTATGATGGCAGACGTCTATCAGTAGCAAAGTATCTTCAAATACATGCAATAGTAGTCTCTTATATTGCAGTGAAGAGGTTCTGAAGGGGTGACCGGTGACCGCTTAGCGGGCGCGGGAAGCAGCAGTACTCGTTCGCTAAGTGTGTGAAAGACACGAGAAACACCTTGCTAGACGTGCAAAGCAGCTAATGTCTGGAACATATTCAATGTCCATCAGAGAAGGGGGTCTGTTGGTTGCAGCAGAAGTACTCGTACTTCCGGTCTGCAAGGTTGCTGAGGTAGTTCCATCAGTCACATTGGATGTGCCCAATGGGGGTGCGCTGCTGCTCGAAGCACCAGCATTCGCTACACCAGTGTTGGAAGTGTGGGCTGGTTGGGGAGGGGGACGTGGTCGCTGCACCACATGCCGTTTCCCGCTGATGGCGTTAGCGGTGCACTGCGAGAATGTCATGAAGGGATCATGGATTGCCACAGCTCAGGAAACTTACGTATTTGCCCCGAGTTGCGAAGACATCCACAGTGGGGTTCCTGCTGGGGAGGGGAGTATCACCCTGAGGAGCGGAAGAGCGAGAAAAGAGACAATTCATGATGTTTTTTTTTTCATTCGTGAGCCTTCGGCATGGCGCGTGGTTGCAGTAGTGCGATTGTTGCGTCCAGGTGGGGAATGCGTATCAAACTGCAGAAGGATGATGAGATGTGCATTGAGACTACCCCATGGTACGGCAGAACGTTGAGTAATGGTAGTGAATTTGATAATCACGTGCGTCATTGATACGTGAACCAAACACCACGTCAATAACACCAAATATTGATAACACTATCTCATCGGCGGTCGTGTCCTAAGTTCTAACCCTTAGCCCTACCACCATGTCAGCCTGTCGCACTCAAGCTCCTCTGATCCCCTATTTGATTATTTCTCGTCGTATGAAGCTTTCACTTGGAAAGTGTAAATTGTAAGCACACTGCATACATCCATCGGAGTCATCACCAGGGCCCTTGAAAGTCAGACAATGGAACTTTGGAGGGGTAAGCAACCACATAACGAAGTTGAAAGAGCAAAATAAAGTAGTCTAAGCATCCACAATTGTGAGTTCTCAGATTACATGTCAAAATATAGCGCATATATTGACTTTATTCGATCTTGTAGTCTTTTGACACCCGACCTCCCTCAGCTTAGGTGAGTGATGTGATCCGAACATGGGCGCTAACTATCTTAGACTAAGTCTATCTCTCGTGTGTTGCTATGCAAAAGCCACGGTGAGCCGCCAGCCCTATGTCATGTGCTTCGCGAGCTCAACATAACTCACTCCGCCGTCGGAAAATGCTGTTGTCAAATCAAACCCTGTACGCCTCGTCTCGCATCTTATGTTCACACAGTGGTACCGCAATGCTGCGTTCGCTGGTGGAGAGGAAAGGTGTTGTTTGATTAATTTGACGGCTGTTGTAGAGTTCTTGGAGAATGTGGATCTTGGTGCTGTGGGTGTTGGGAAGGGTGTTGGTATTGTTAGGTGGGTGTTCAAGCTTTTCGATCCCTCCATCTCGTGGGTTTGCTTGATTCAAACCGCTGTTCCTTGTTTCCCGTACTCTAATATCCATTCTCATTCGATGCACTAACATTGATTGTCTACAGCACCGCAGACCTCACTCCAATCCCAATTGTACGCACCACACTTCCGCCAGACGCACCTGCAGACGCGCCGGGCAGCCCCCACGGACGCGTAGAACAAGGTGT